TTATCACCACAACGTTTGTATGATTAAGAGAGCTAACAAACTCTTTTAACGCACGAATTCCCAATTTTGTCTCATTTCGGCCAACGTCCATTGAACCTCCCCACACAACACATACATCACTCACTGTTAAATTCTTCATGTCCGTATCAGAAATATTTACTAATTGTTCTAATGAAGATCCAGGTTTCACTACTCCCTGAGAGTTAAATTCAAGAGTAAGGTTATACTTTAACTCATTAGCCAAACCTCTTGCATGGCTGTCTCCTACTATTCTAATTTTATGTTTTACCTTATCCACAGTATTACTAGTACGGTTGTCTTTTGTAGTCTTCTTCATCTTCGAAAACCGTACATCATCTGGTTTCCTATTAGTTGCATTTGAAAGGTTCACTTGGTTTTTGAGGTTATTCTGTTCTACTCTTTCATCATGCAAGATCCTAATTATTTGTTGAGCAGATTTCAGTTCCGTGAGTGCAACTTTCAAATAATCGGTCAACATTTGGCATTTCACACAGCTAATTTCCTTACTATCACAAAAATCTTGTTCAGAAAGGCGTGAGGCAAAATCGAGAACTACATCAACCGCTGCCATCTTCCAAGTTCACCTTCACGAATTACTTCATATATTTACTGACTTTTTATTGGATTTCACATTTTAAGTATTTAAGCCAAGTGATGATTCTTGTAACAGCTGTTTACTAATTTCATTTAGTTTCTTTCAAACCTACATCTTCTTGTCTTATTTCCAAAACAAACTGAATATCAAAATATGTAAAATTAATATTTCTGCAAGTATTCATGGTCACCATGTTTCTTCTCTTTTAATCAAATTTACCTCAACAAAAGCTACAGTACAGCACTGATTATAAGAATCCTGATTATCTGAACTGCCAATTAACTGAATCACCAGAACCAAGAAATGTGTCTGCTAAACAAACATCACTGTTGGACTTTTTCAAATGTAAGTGTTTGAAAATGTTAATTTATAATTACATTTATTCATTTTCCACGTTTCACCTGTTTTAAAAGTTTTTTTTTTTTCGTTTTTATTATTATAATAGTAAATACATTATTACAGTGTTATAATACTGCTTTTCCAAATATAACAATTTAAACCAATTACCCAAATTTTTGATTATCCAAACCACCTTTGTCACTAATTCAGATAATCGGCTTTCTACTGTACTTATTTTTTTTAAATATCTAATAAACTTATTTTCATTGTCATACATTAAAGCACTGTGTACCCACATCAAAAGATCACATAACCAAATTGCTGGAATTTCTGAAGGAAGAAATTTAAAAACATGACACTTGGGGGCTCTCCAGTCGCACACTGGAACCAAGTATATACATTAGCACATAAGCTTGATTTTTCTTTTGGAAACAGGCTAAAAACCTATAAAACAGAGATTGACATTCTTGAATATGATGTTAACATTCCAGTGTTGAAACTGATGCTTTGTTGTGCCATTTAAATTCACTATAATCCCAGGACTCTCACACTATTTACATTAAATATCTTTTATATTCACCAAGTTTTATTACATTAAGTAAACATGACAAGGGAAAACTAATTTTACTTTTTTCTAATATGTAAGATGCAGCACAGGTTTAAGCCACATATATCCACTTATATGGTCATCGTCATGACTTCTGATGCTACATAATCTGCAGTTGATACAGCAATTTTAAACAGAATAAATAAATAACACCTACCTGGTGTCACAGCTACTAGTTTAGTGAGATTATCCTCTGCCTTCATTCCAAGAGGCATACAGGAATCTGGCAGTGATGGGGCACCTATCTTGTAGATTTTTGCATCAGAAAAACGGACATCAAATGAATGAGGATATAATGGTGTACGCAAACCATAGAAATATTCACGTACCCTAGCATCTCTTGCTTCTGCCCGTGCACTCTGACTGCGTACAACAACCTATAAAATATACAGGAAGGCTTAATATTATTCAGTTGACACAATACCATGAGTTTAGTTATCATGTTGGTAGAACCCATGGGTATGAAAAGTGGAAATTAGATAGTGCTTCTTTTACTTAAATTTTGAGTCTGCAAAGGGCATTAGCAGTGCTGAACCTCTCCCAACAGGGTTTTCAGTTATATACTTCATACAAAGAAGACTGAGATACTTACACCTCCATTTTTTGGTAGGTAAACAACCTTCACAAATGTTGGCATATCACGCACAAGCTCATTGTACAGTCGTTCCTGATCCAAGACTAGGATGATGTCCACCTCAAATGCTTGAGCAACATGGGTGAGTTGCTTGTATCCGTCACCCTTCACCCACCCACAGGTATTGATAATCACACCTGAAGCATTTGCTAGAATAAAAATGGTAAGAATGTTAATGGCAGAAAATATAAAACATTTAATTTATTTAGTCAACATATCCCAGGGCAATATTCAGAAATTCTTCAATAATCAATTCATTTTTACAAAATGTTATCCTTTTGTCTTTATAGGTATTCATTACCGACATAAAGACCATTGAAATTTAAACACATAATTGTTAAAAATAAACTTCATCAAAAATACCCAGCCTCAACAACTTACAAATTCTGAAAAGACAGCTATGTTTAAACTAACATACTAAACAATGCAGAATAACAACATGCATTATGTGGTGCTGCTATCTAGAGGATTTTTAACAAAGGTCAACACTGTACTACCAACTACAGCATATCTTCAACTGCTACCATCTTCTGTCCTCATTGTAACTATTTACTAACATAAGAAGCAATAGAGAAACAAGCTTTAGCGATATATATATATATNTTTCGGCATCAATGTGCCATCTTCAGGTGCTGATCCAATCCACGACAAACTAATTCATTGCATGCCTTGTCTTTACATACTAAAATAACTAAAATATATATTTATCATATATACTGACAAATGTCAAGTGTTAAAATACTAAAATTGTACAGCATATTTCTTTCCTACGTCGTGTTTCATTACGCGAGTCACGTCTATCATCCTCTGTTGGAGCACTCTCTCTTTCACTATTGTGTATTGTGCTCTGTGTTGCGTCTCACTCCTGTGACTGCGTGTGTTATACACATGCAGTCACAGGAGCGAGACAAGGCATGCAATGAATTAGTTTGTCGTGGATTGGATCAGCACCTGAAGATGGCACATTGATGCCGAAACATGTAGTGAGCGTGAAAAGAGGGGATAAATAAATGTATGCACTAGAAGACGGATAAAATAAATCATGGACTTAAATCAGTGCAACAGGACGCTAAAATATAACATTATATATCTATATATTAAGTTTAATATGTATCTCTGTATTTATGATGTAATTAACAATAATGTCAGTAGCTTGAACAGCGTATTATTCAACGGTAATATGATCAGTGAATGAAAAACTGGAAAGGATGTGGCAAAAAGTGACACAACCTATTTCAAAGCACAACCCTGGCATTCATATGGAGAGGCTGAGGAAAACCACAAACAACCAGTCATGACAGTCAACGTACACAGCAAGATTTGAACTGGGCACATCACAAATACAATTCAAAGGCACTGCTTCTCAATCCAACTTCCTCAGTAAAATTGTCATGTTTTAGTGACTAGACACAAGGTTTTGATTCATAATTGGATTTACTGAACACCTGTACCTCACAATTACAAATAATTCTATATACTACTCTGTCCAAAAAGTATCCGACCTTGGGCCAGGAAAAAAAAGTTCTGTATCTGGGTGGTTACAATACCTAATCGCCTTCAAAGTAGGCCCCTTGTGACTCCACACACTTAGCCCAGTGGTCCTTCGATCACTGGAAGCAATTCTGGAAGGCTTCTTTTGCAATGGCGCGCAGCTGCTCCGTCGCTTTCTGTATAATGTCCTCACAGCTGTCAAAATGGCAGCCTTCTAGCGGTGTCTTCAATCTCAGGAACAGCCACAAATCACAAGGAGCCATGTCAGGAGAGTAGGGAGCCTGGCAAACCTGCAGAATGCCATGCTTGGCCAGGAAACCCTGGATCAGGTGCGATGAATGAGCTGGGGCATTGTCATGATGCAGCTGCCAGTTGCGTACATCCCACAGCTCCGGTCTCTTGCACCAAACTACACCACGAAGATGTGGGAGGACTTCTTGGTAGTATTCCTTATTGAGAGTGGCCTAGTGGTGCGTACTCATGATGCACAACACCCGGTAATCGAAAAAAACAGTCAGTATCACCTTCAGAGTTCCAAACCTGTCGTGCTCTTTTGGGCCTCGGGGAGGTTGGATGCTTCCATTGTGACGCCTGGACCTTGGTTTCCAGGTCATATCCATACAACCATGACTCTGTCACCAGTGATCACAGTTTTCAGGAACTCAGGATCCCTGTTGGCGCACTCCAGCATCAGCATGTCCTGCGCGACCTCAAGGTGGAGATGTTGCTGCTCCGGCGAAAGCAGCTTGGGCACAAATTCTGCCACCACTCTTCGCATACCCAAATCCTCAGATAAAATTGTGTCTGCGGAACCTCTGCTGATCCCAACCTCATCAGCAACTTCACGGATGGCCAAACAACGGACCTCCATGATCAGTGTCTACACTTTTTCAATAACATCAGCATTTCAGCTCGTTGGCAGTCTCCCAGAACGCTGCTCACTGTCCGCCGACATACAGCCATGTTTAAAGCAGCTGACCCACTCTTTTAATTTGAGGGACCGCCATTGCATCATCATCGAAAGCCTGCTGAATTTTGCGAATTCTTTCCGCTTGGGTATCGCCTAGTTTCTGACAAAACTTAATGCAGTATCACTGCTCCAAGCATTCTGTCATCTTGAGCGAAACGAGAATGCGTCGAACACGTATTACACCACTTCGCAATCTGGCAGCCAAAGATGCATCCGGCAGTGTTGCGAATCAGCAAAAAATCATACATGCGCATGAAAGTCCCTTCTACCACTAAGCTCAGTTTCCCCACCTCTTTGGCCAATTTACAGCGGAAAAAAATAAAGTTGGATACTTTTTGAACATATGGTATATATATATATATATACACACACACACANCTACTGCACTTCTCTGGGTTTAGGCAGGAACACTATAGGGTAAGTAGACAATGTGAGGTCCTGTTAGACGAGATTCTAGGAAAGGAATGCAGTTAACAACCTGCCGCGTCCTCTTGCACTATTCACGCAGTCCCACCCCACACCCTTGTTTTCGCATAAAACCCACGCTCCTCTTGCAGCCCGCGGTCGTATTCTTCCAGGACAGTCACGTCAGCAAGTAGAGAAAGTGAGGGTGGGCAGACACATCAAACTTTCCCACGATATCAGAGAAATTCAGGAATGAAAAGGACGTTACATACGAGGTTGATGCATTTGTGCATGTCGTACTAAGCAAGGTATAAAAACAGTTGCTTTATGAGGAATTAGTTCGTACCATTGAATATTTGACGCAAAAGACAAGGTGTCGCAGAAACCGATGTTGCTATAACCAAGTTTTACTGTATATATATGTGTGTGTGTGTGTGTGTGTACTCATTGAGCTGAGCCCTTCTTGAGGAACAGCCAATTCTACAGTTACTCAAGAATTTCCCAGCATTTTATGGAACCCATAGGTTCATCACTGTGTACGTAAGAGCCCTCCACTGGACCCAATCCTGAGTCAGATTAATCCAACCCAATCTCATCCTATCTAAGATCCCTTTTAATACTGTCCACACACCGATGCCTTGGTCTTCCCATTGGTCTCTTTCCTTCTGGCATTCCCACCAATATCCTATATGCATTCCTATTCTCCCGCATTCGTACATGCCCTGCCCATCTCATCCTCCTTCACTTGGAGAAGGGTACAAGTTATGAAGCTCCTCATTATGCAATTTTCTCCAACCTCCTGTCACTTCATCTCTCTTCAGTCCAAATATTCTCCTAACACCCCATTCTCAAACACACTCAGTCTATGTTCCTCCCTTAATGTACGAGTACAAAACCTAGTACAAAGCTGTAAATATATTGAATAAGCAGTCATGGACAGCCGACAAGCGGTGGTCCTTCAGCTTGGGGGTTTGACATGGGGCTAACAACTCCTCACCATAAAAAATAAGCTTGTTATGAAAATGTACACAAAGCCTCCAACTTGGATGAATCCTCTAGATAAATAATTAATTATATTAATTATAACACTGTCAATAATCTACACACTTAACAAATCACTAATGCAAACACTAAGTCTTCTCCGTCTTCCATGTCTTCACTAGTCACTGCTTGGCAGTGGCTCTCAACAATGTCCTTTTCAACTTCTGTGCTCACTTTGCTGCCAGCTGTGTACCATCTCATAGCTGTCAGATGATCCTAGTTATACAGGACATGGACTGCACAGAAAATATAATTTCCATGGTTTCTCTGTTGTGTTTACTCTTCAGCAATTTGTCTATTGTGTGTGTATCCATTGTCATGATGCATGTTTACTGAGCAATTACCTAGCAGTAGATGGCTTCTCTTGTTGAACTATTCTGTCATCATGTCACATTCATCCCTCCTTAAAGCTCCTAGTCTCAAGTAGCCTCTAGATGTACGTGTATTTGCCATTTCTTCATTTCTTAGGAAAAATGCTTGTAATGTCTGTGATCAGTCTCACAAATATAATTATATAAGTAAGTATATATTTACAAATGGCACCTTCCGCCATGCTGCTTCATACACGTTTGGTGTTACCATAGCCATAGCGTCCCTTATCCTTTAAGAGACGGCCCTTTAAATTCCGGTAATGGCTACGGGACTGATTTAATTTAAATGCCCGCGATTATAAAGCGATAAAAATTGTAATCATTTACTAAAATTGCTGTGATTTCTACAATTTTTGTGATAAACGAACCAAATAAACGCTGCTTTTTTCTAGAAAGAATATAGAATCAGATATTGTAATTTACAGACTTTATAAAATGTGTAAAAATTTTTAGACTGATTTCAACAAAAAAAAATCCCCAATTTGTCGTCTCTCTATAAGAATTCATACAGTTCTTGCAAGTATGAATGCAGCAGATGTGGCAACACAGCAGACCCTAATGTAGAAGTTGTTTAGTCTTGCATTTCCTTGTCTGGTCACGTACGGTCTTTCAGCATGGAGAGATGTGAGCGAGTATCTATTCGTATATAAGAACCCTGATTGTTTATTATCGCTTGTAACTACACAACAAGCTCTCTGTTCTCACTCTGCTGGAAGTAGATTATAAGAACTTCAAGGTTAGCATACCACAGCCAAGCAGTGTCAAAGTTAGCATTCTGCGAAGTTGTGAACCAACCATTGCGCCGTCTCGTTTGGTAGACTCGGACATATTTCAGCTCATAAATGACTCCGAATCAGATTGTTGTACCGACAATTCTGAGAGTGGCGTTGAGGAAAGTGAATCAGAAATTGATTTCAACGAAGAACCATCATCTTGGTCGGCAACCTGGGGACCACCACACCAGCATGGCAAGAGGAGTGTGAATAATTATTCAGGTGGAGCTGTGGGCAAACTGTGGCAAACAGTTATAGCATCTGTCGTTGAACCTGGAAATGGACAAATAAACTATTTTCCCATCTCCTGGATCTGAACAGTTACATCCTGTTGTCACACAGAGAATTTCGTCTTGCTCTTGTGCGGAACATGCTGGAAGGGGTCCACTTCGCCCTCAACGGCCCAGGGGTCGAACCCCTGCCGTTTCATTGGAGATATTTCGATTAGAGGAGGCCAAACCACATCACTGGTGGTTGATTTCGACGAAGAACCATCATCTTGGTCGGCAACCTGGGGACCACCACACCAGCATGGCAAGAGAAGTGTGAATAATTATTCAGGTGGAGCTGTGGGCAAACTGTGGCAAACAGTTATAGCATCTGTCGTCAAACCTGGAAATGGACAAATAGACTATTTTTCCATCTCCTGGATCTGAACAGTTACATCCTGTTGTCACACAGAGAATTTCATCTCGCTCTTGTGCGGAACATGCTGGAAGGGGTCCACCTCGCCATCAACAGCCCAGGGGTCGAACCCCTGCCGTTTCATCGGAGATATCTCAATTAGAGGAGGCCAAACCACATCACTGGCCGACTTCCTCTACTTCGCAATTGAGGTGTCGTGTGTGCTTTTCGCGTGGGAAATGAAGAACCGTCCGGACAAAGTGCGTGAAGTGCGACGTCGGACTCTGCATTTCCGGATGTTTCCAAGATTTCCACACGAAGCCAACATTCTGTTAGATGACGCAGTTGGGAAGAGAGACAACTTATAAAGCTCGTGTCCAAAAATCATGTAAGTAGAAAAAGAATTTATAACTTAAAATTAGATTTTATAAAGCCGGCCACACGCATGGACTGCGCGATGACATATGGAGTCATTCGTCCCCTTGACTTTATTTTTGTGACTCCATATGTCGCCTTTAGGCTTTAAAAGGTTAAGCTGGTATTCAGGTGTCGAAGGTTGTTGATCTTAACCTGGTAGACAATGTTCTTCACATAACCCCAGAAGAGAAACTCCAGTAGGGTTAAATCTGGCGACCTAGAAGGCCCAACTACTGGTCCACCTCTGCTGATCCATCTCCCAGCCATATCTCTATCCTGGTGTTTCCTAACATAGTGGTAGGAATGTGGCAGTGCCACATCTTGTTGTAGGATAGTTTGAGTTGGTAACTGGTGCAGCACATACAGCTCCAGCATGTCCAAATACGAACATCCAGTCACAGACTTTTCAGAAGAGAAAAACGGTCCAATCAATTTGTCGTGCATTAAGCCTGCCCACACGTTCACTTCGGGGTGGCCTCTCTCAAACTCACATGTAACACGTAGATTTTCAATTACCCAAATCCTGCAGTAGTACCTGTTTACAACTCCACTGACATGGTACGCTGCCTCATCCGAAATGCACATTTGGTGGAAGAAATTGGGTGACACATCAATTCTTTCTAGCATGTCCACAGCAAAGTTTGTGTGTGCTACTTGGTCACTCAGTTTTGCTGCATGAATCATTTGCATCTTGTATGCTCTTAGGAAAGCCTTTCGTGTAGCACATCGTGCACTGCTGAATGTGGAATTTCTAAGTGCAAGAAACGATTTGCGCAGACTTTGCTGGAATGCCTCTCTAATGACACTGACATTTTCTTCAGAGATCCATGACTTGCCAGGAGATTTTACACACAACAGACTACCTGCAGTCCTCAGTTTGTTGTCCTAGAACTGAATGCCTTGCCATGTAGGAGGTTGACATCCACATTGCATTCTAAAGCGACACTGAACAGCCGTAAGTGATTGCAAATCTGCTAGCCACATGCATTGAACCTGTTCCTGTGGTTTCGACATCATTACTGAGCTCACTGAAGGTCACCAGCTGACACATGTGCATAAGTCAGGCATGGAAAAGAAAACTTTCAGAGTTTTCCTTTCCAATGACAAAACTGGATACGTGTAAAACAATTCATTTCCAAGATATAATTTTTTTTTTATTTTTGACACCTTTCATCCAGTCCCATGTACTTAAGAAAATATATGAGTTTTCAGAGAAGTATAGACATATATTTTTGAAATTAAAACATTACTAAATGCAACACATGAACAAAAATGCTTACAAATTGCATGCATGACTTCAGAAAAAATAAAACTCACTGCACTTCAGTGACAAGAAAACTGCTACAAAGAACTGCAAGAGCTGTATCACAGAGTCACTTCTTTCTTTAAGTAGGTTATTTCTTTCAATTCATAGGTAATGTGTGACCAAGTCCATCTGGTATCAAGACCACTATTGGGCATAATTGTATCACCTCCAGATGGTGATGCTAAGTGAGTGCAAAGCAGCTTGTGGAATGAGAAATGGCAGGGCGAAAAGGAGTACAGGGAGTAAACACACACACAGAGCTCACCCAATTATGAACACATAAACAGCCACAGAGATAACTAGGCAACAGGTCATGCCAAAGAAGGGGTTTTTGTTTGTATTGTCACTTGTTGCCTATGTAACATGACAAATAAATTCAAGCAGGTCTTGGATTTGAGTGAATATTTATTTGACTCACTCTTTTCCACTAGTGAGTACAATTATTATCATTTATAACCTCTGCAGACATTTCTTCTTTACTGTTATAATGACTTGCACTGCTATCCTCAGTCAACTGTCTTGGTCCCTTGTCGTGGAACACTTTTTGCTGAAGTCGAATACAAGTTCAATACAATCTGTCAACTCAATTCACCTCAACTCTACTCAAATGTCAAAAACTGTCTGGACTTATGACCTGGTCTTGGATGGAATAGAGGGCACCTTCTCCCAGGGTTCGATTTCACATGTTCTATGCTGGTTACTGTGGGAATTCATTAATCCCGCTGTTTCAAACAATTTATTGCGTTCCCATTACAGCCGTTACACAGCAATAGACGTCATATAGCACATCACAGTATTCTGACGCATTAAAAGAATTCTGGAATTTTGACAACTTTGATACTACGGAGGACAGGAGGCAAAAAAAATGCACAAACAAAACATGATTTGCAGAATTACAGCCGAGAACATGCACGCAACTGTTAATGGTCTTGACGTACACATGGTTATAAAGTCTAGTGTTTACAAAGCTAATCAACAGCAGACAATACAATGTACAGAGCAATTATTGTTTATCTAATTTCAATACATATAAATCACAGTGAAAAAAATATTTCACATAAATATTATAGATCTTAATGAGATCTATAGGTATTTATTCTGTGCACCATTTATTTGTGTGATGAGAGAGTTTTGAGAATTCTGATAACTTCTAGCTCTACTTCAAGTAAGATTACAGCTATGAGGTGAAAAATGAATCACAATAAAATCTGACCAATGCTGACTTTGTTTTAGAGATGGAACATGTGAATCAACAGTACCTACCCATTGTGCTTTACTTCATGCACTCTGCACAAGGAATACATGATTTATGCAGAATACCAAACTATACTGTCATGAGTGTGCCTGCTATGCACACAGAAGCAGCAGTATCAGGACAACCGGCAATTCTGCCTTCTTTCATTAGCTTACCTCTCCTATTAGCCTGCATTCTTTCTGAAATTACTTCAGCTAGTCGTGACACCAACATGTTATAAAGAGCCAGGTTGGTGCTTGCTGCCTTATGTCCATAATGATAAACTAGTGGAGCTTGCTGAGAGAAACCTTCTTCAACGGCAGCAGGTCTCTCTACCAGAAGTGCACCTGTTGAAGAAAAGGAAACCTAAATGAATTCAAACCAACCCCAGCCATCAATTTCACTAATCTACTATTCATCATAAGAGCATATCAATTCACCTTCCACATGTGTCTACTAAAAACCCAACCTTCAAAAATTAATTGAAGGATATTAACCCTAACTCTCGAGAGCTTGGGTAACATAAATTTCTTGATTTAGAGCATCTGTTACATGGTGAACCCTCCAAAAGGGTGATTTTGGCAATTACTTCAATCACAGGCTTCTAGGATATCAGGTGTAATATTGCACTGTTGCAAGCTACAGGCCATAACATACTGCAAACTGGAATATACAATCTGCAATATAATGAACCTGAACTTCAAGTCATAAAACTAGGCATGTTCAAGAACGTTTTCAGTTCAAGGTGGTACTAAGACAAGAATTTATAAAATGTAATTAATTTAGTAAAGAATAAAGATTTTCACCACAAACCCAATTTTTTTTCGTTACAATTAAAATTCATAAGACCAATAACTTTTTCACAATACACTGAAGTGTACTCTTTTATCTTTTAAAATCACATTTCTTTGCAATGAAAAATGTTCATGTACCATTCAATTAAAAAATGGTCATCCTCTTTTTCACCATGAACAGAAACAGATATTGTCAACAAGTTCATATATTGCAGTGCTGCCAACCATCATGATGCTAACTATTCAGTTACTTTGAAAACTACTGTTCAAAGTAAAAGCACTTATATGCAAATTATCAAATTTCACAACAAAAAATCAGTGTTCAAATCAAGATAGTTTTCTTTCTTGAGCCATCTCGAAAATTCAAGACATGCATAAAATATTTTATTTTAATAGTTTAAATACTAGACTGAAAACTGTATGGGTGGCTCCCACATCATGCCCTACAGGGGATTTTTCAAATAATTTGCTGTATGTAGCTGGACAGCACAAGTGCACAGATACAGTAGTTACATAACGGTTTCAAGTTGGACAGCTCTGTTTTATATCATTAATAATGCCTGTGAGTGCCCTTTTAATATAAAACAATTACAACATGAAGAGCTGAAAGATATTCTTTCATTTTTATAACTAGAATACTTCAGTAGTTAAATTCTGTTAAGGCTGCATTTCTATATTCAGTGATATGTTCCTCACTACATAAACATTTCACACTGATTATTTTTACAGCATGAAGCTGCACACATGTAAATAATAAAATCTTATCCTTACCAATTGTGCCAGGGATTGAAATTTGACCCTGTCCAACATCCAGATCAACAAATATTGGCCTTCGGCTCATTCGAACTGCATAATTCAGAAGCAACCTACATAATGTTGATTTCCCAACATCCACTGGGCCCACAATCATTGTTACAGGCCCTCGACCGTTGGCTTGTTCTGCCTTTCTTCTTAACAGTTCCAATGCTGCATGTGAATTGAGATACATAACCTGGGAAGACAAATGGGTGAAAATAGAAGAAACAGAATTACAGCAACAAATGTTTGTGTATGTATAGCTTGTGTCACTTACCATGGGTGTTTCTTTCGCAACGTAACTAACATCCGTCTTCCCTCTCAATTCTATAACACATCCTTGCCATGTAAACACGGCTATCTTTGCTCCCGTTGTGAACACATAAGTTTTTCCTTTCACAAGTTCTGTACCAAACACCTCTGCCATTCCGCTCTTTAACTGAAAGAAAAGTGTTAACAGCAATTACATACAGTGAAAAATGGTCAAGACTATGGGTGGTAAATAAATATATCTCCAAACACTAAGGTTAGGCAAACATAATACAACTCACTTCTAATATCACTTTTTCATTTTTACTTTCAACTTCGAATCTCAATTCACAGTCAGGTTCAAGCTTAAATTCTTGAACCTTTGGAACCTTTTCTTCTATCATTATTAGTTGTATTCGATTACGACAAACCAGTCAGATCCGCCTACAACTCCAACAATACTCAAAACACTCAAAACCGTCAAAACGGTCTTTGTAACTAGGTTCGGTTGTTAACGTTTCATCGTCATTGTTGTTGTTTGGCAAAATAGCGTCGTGACCGGTCACGAGCGCCAACGGTCGTTACGCGTACGAGTGCAATACTGTTGTCCTCCTGTCGCTCCTGTCTTCCTACACTAAATACACAATGGCCACCACCTCCGAGAGCACGATCGGTAAAACGGCATACTATCATACCACCATCCTTTGCATCCTGCCCGACTGAACGTGAACATATATTCTCAACAATAATAATACATAATTTTGCAATTCTGACCGTTTCTGCTCCGAAAGTGAAGTGATATTGAACCCGGTTCCGAAAAAAAGAAAACTATGGAATAAGAGACTCTGGAGTACAAAAGGTCAGAGTTGCAAAATTTATTTATTTGGAGAAAGTTTCTTACCAGTCTGTGTAAAGTCATAACATTTCATTTACATCAATCCAACACCGCCTTACCCAAATGAACTGGACACTGTGTGAACTATAACATACATAGAATACTTGTGTCTAGGAAAGCTAAATGTGGGGAAACTTGAAAGAAAATTCTGTTTCCATCAGAGATACTTGTATTTAACCACATAAGTTTGGTCATAAATTACACTTGAAAGCCAGACAGAACAGAGTTTTCCGGTTATATTAATGTACTATAAATCATGTAAAGCAAGCAATAATACTGATGAATCCAGTTATTATTAATTTCATTAGAATGACTGAACTCCAGAATTTGAAATTTGAAATTTGCCACTCTTGTCAACAAGTATGCATTTAATGATATATAAAAAGCTGATATATTCATCTTCACTAGTTCAGTACTGGACAGGATTATATGGCAAAAATAACAACATATCTTACAGAATTATTATGAAATCTATATGACAATATTAATAATATATCTCACAGAATAGTCAAAATCTGATATTCATCTTCAACTACAGTTCTGAACAAGACTAAATGACAAATATAACAACATACCTTACAAAATACTGGAAATCTGATATTCAACTTCCAAAACAGCAAAAAAGAATACCCAAAGTCAGTTACAGAGCTTTTAAAGCTAGAAGAAAAAACATTTCTGCAAGGCTTCTGTTACTTCATAAACAACATTCTTATATTTATATAAAATAGATAAGTAAGAAAATTAAAACAGTAAGTGTACAGATTAGTAACAGTATATTCTCAGATTTAAGCTAAGATCTATATTCAGAATCGCAGGGAGACCACTGTAATAGAATATAATGTTTATAAGAATGTGCTACAGAAGGCCAGATGGGCATTTCCTAGGCCTTTTGTGTATTTACAAAGATTTTTTCCCACAACAATAAAAAAACCTTCCCCCATGATACTTTTCACCCCCTGGTTGTTATCATTGTAATCATTATAATGTTCAAATGCTGGTGGAATTGGCACACAGATTTAATTGGTTGAATATTATTCCACTAGATGGCAATGGGTTGCAATTAGACATCGATTTGTACAGGCAGATCATAATTTAATGATCTGTCCTATCAGCACTCAGTTTTGTCCATCATGTTGTGTATGCGCGGTGACAATTGTGTGGTTTATATGTGATCTCTGCTTTGTTGCTGTTGTCATGTTCTTCAGTGTATTTGCATGTGTAGGCAATTAGAGTTAGAGGTAAAAGGAAGAGCGTAGAACAGTATTTCATCCTTTGCCATGGAACTGAAGATCGCTATGTGAGACTCAGATGGGGTCAGGATCATTAAGATCGTTAAATCACTGCTCTTGTACAGCGGTTAGGTTACAGATTGTGTATTTTGGCTGCCCATCCACCAGATGCTCAGAACTCCGAAGATTCCAGATTTTCTCTTATTACTTTATTGCATGATCATAGGTAATACCAGAAATACTTCTATTTATTCTAGCCGTAAAGCAGTTAAAGAATTCCAGACTTTTCATTGACAAGCAAAGATAAATGCATAGCTGAAAATATTAAACAAGCCAATGAGTCAACGTCAATGTGACTAACTCCAACCAGCAAAATCCTTGAAATTTTGAGAATGTAGCCCACTCTGACCACTAGACTACAGAGGCAGTCCAGATGTTACTATTTCTGGTGCAAATCAGACCGTCCGCTTTTCACTGCTTCGGATATCACAAGAATAATTTTTTACATATAAAATTCGTCAGCTTTGCATACAATCCCAAACCTAGAAGACCAGGTCATTGTATTTATGTTTTCCAATAACAGGGTGGCTCAGTTATAGCCCCAGCCACTGGTTTACCTTTTTGTTGCCTTCTATGATTCTGTACAGTGGATACATTCTAAACCACCTCTCATACAAGAAACAAGTATCTAATACCTGAACTATTATATGAAAAATTCATATTTCTTTCCATGCGCATGATTCAACCACAAACCAATTGAAGGATTGTGGGTCTATTTAGTATTGCAGATATACATGGAAGGACCACCTCTGTGGTCTAGTGGTCAGAGTTCCTGGCTACAGATCTAGATCTCCGGGTTCGATTCCTGGCGCTACCAAAATTTGTGAGAAGTAGAGGGTCTGGAACGAGGTGCACTCAGCCTCGTGAGGATAAACGAGGAGCTATTTCAAGGAAATAGCTGCTCCAGTCTAGAAAACCGAGATTAACGGCAGTGCGCTGACCATGCGACACCCTCTATCCGCAAAAATTGGCACTAAATTCATCGAGAAGCGGCGGTCTGTTGGTCAGTACAGTTTGCTTGCGGACTACAGGCCGCGGAGTTTGTTTTTTGTCATTTGTTTAATATACACGGAATATTGTTTTTTCTCCCCCTTTCCCCAAAAGAATTTCATTATTAAAGTTAAGACTTTTCACATGGGAATAAGTGAACATTTTCTTGATACCGTAAAGCACACTCTAACAAGGAAGTGTTTGAATTTAAAATTGTCAGTTTTACAGACAGTAACATTTGCATAATTTAGATATTTATCAAGCGGTGAATGATTATTGTTAAACTTTGATTTAGTCAAACAGAGGATCAGTGAACAATGTAAGTGTGAGTTCTTACATACAAGCATGATGTTATGGATATGTATTGAGTCCAACGTAATTTTTCACCCGGATTTTCAGATGTGTTTGCAGTTATAATTTATCTTTCAGAACTAAATATGTATTTATATAACAAACTTGATTATAACAATTGAATTCCTCATCTCACTTAGTTAAGCCTCTAACTAATTATCTCCATGCAGTTGAATCATTCTTGAGAAGCCGTCAGTTGTGCAGCTACTCAACAACTTCACAACATTTTATGGAACTCAACAGTTCATTACCATATTCACAAGAGCCCTCCACTGGTCCCTATCCTAAGTCAGATCAATCCAGTCCATACAACCAAATCCCACCTTTCTATAATCCATTCTAATATTTTCCGTTCATCTATGTCTAGGTCTTCCTAGTGGTTTATTTCTTTCTGCTTTTCCAACCCATCAATGCCAAAGTAGAAGGAAAGACATTTTCAAGGCAACAATTGGGAATGAGAGGTTGCACGAAATTAGTAATGATACTGGAATTAGAGTAATAAATTTTGCCACATCCAAAAATCTGACTGTCAAAAGTACAATGTTCCCACATCTTAACATTCATACATATATTTGCTTGGATTTCTCCTGATGGAAAGACACAACCAAATTTACCATATATTGGTATACAGGAGAAGGCATCCAAGCATACTTGATGTCCGATCTTTCAGGGCAAGAGATTGTGATACTGACCACTATCTGGTGGTGGAAAAATTTAGGGAGAGACTGGTAGCGAGTAAACAAACAATCCACAGAGTTCATATGGAGAGGTTCAATCTCAAAAATTTAAAAAAGATAGAGGATAAAGAGCAGTATTGTGTTTAAATCACAAATAGGTTCGCAGTTTTTGGAAAACTTAGACAATGAGGTGGATATTAATAGAGCAATATGATATCTGTTGTGACAGCTTTGCAACAACTGATTTTTGTGTGGAAAAAATGTGAACCTGCAAAATGTGAATATCAGGACCAATAAATTGTGCAGATTCTCAAGGAATTGAATGGAAAATGTATGGACATCAAATGTGAGGTCACCTTTCTTCTTCCTTGTTACACGGTACAAGATCATGTACCAGTAAGCTCTTCATTTTCTGAAAAAAAAAAAAAAAAAATTTTGCATGAAATGCTTATGAAAANAATGCATTCACACCTGTAGCTTGGTGAACACTGACCTCATTACATAATAAGATGGAATACTGACTTAAAGCTTTATCACAAAGTATTGCATCAATTGAACAGATAGCAAGACTGATTAGCAACTGCTGAATTATTTTGATGGTTGCCTGGCGCTGACACAAGGCAACAACAGACGTCTGCACTAAGAACAGAAGTTGTGAATTTGAGTCAGTAACACTGGGACATTCCCGTTAGACATAGGTGGATGACTTGCCAAATAAAATCAGAGCAAAAAGAAGCTATAGTCTAATTTATGATTATGTCTTTTGCACTATAATTTTTAGTGCAAATTTTCTGTTGTTATCTGAACAGTACCTTTCTTGTTCCTTCGATGCAAGCAAATATTCAGACCATCCTTCAGCTGCGTTGAAGTTGTGAGACATAAAATGTGATAAGGTAGAGTTACCCCTGTACATAATTATATGACTAAGCATAATGCGATGAAGGCATATTTGGGAATGGAGGTATAACTCCACCATTCATAACCTTGCCACTAGATGGGTTTAATTGGCTAGCCTCACTCTCCTACCATTTTATACTCGAGGATAGTACCCCATATCCAATGGATAGGACGCTAGGCTGGACCTTCAAACAATGTGGCTGCTGTGGACAAGAGAAAAAACTTTTCTTCTGCCAGGAATCTAACCCGGGTCATTCAGTCCATAGCCTAGACCCTGTACTGCCGGACTTATCCCTGCTCAGTAAAAAGATATACCACAGAGAGACTTAAGCCTGGAAGTTGATCCTCCAAGTCAAGACCTTCACTCACAACACATGGCCTCTATAAACTCTTTATCATCGTAGGTCCTCCTTTCACATCTGTAATTAAACCAGTAATAGGAACAGAAATTAACAAAGAAGATAGCTAGAAAGACGGATTCAAA